AATCGCCCCGAGGTCTTCGCGGTTGTACCACGGCCATCAAGAAGCTTAACAAGCGGCAGCTGCGCATGGAGGATGTGACGACCAAGCGAAAGCAGATGCGGATGACTCCTTCGGAGAGAAGTCGCCTGGCATTGGCGGTCTACGAGAAGAGCTGCGGAGTTTTTTTTAAATCCCTTATGAAAGGAGCAAAAATAATGTCCAATGTAATAATAATAATAAATAAAATAAAAAATAATGCCACAAATTAAAATACAGGGATATCGGTATGTTTGAAAATTAAATATGTAACGTATAATAAATACATTTTTGAAAAGTCGTTGTGATACTGTGAACAACCAGGGAGCAATAAACAGTGAGCAAGTGAGCAATGAGCAGGTGAGCAATGTACAGTGAGCAAGTGAGCAATAAGCAACTGAGCAATGAACAGTGAGCTAGTGAGCAATATGAGTGAGTTGACTCTTTTGAAAAAAAGAACAAGTGAACATGTTCACCTAAATGAGTAGGATTTACACAACACTACTCTGGGGTGAGTATACCGGAGTCCGGATGTGGCGAATGCCAAAACCATCCATCAGCTCTTCGAATGCCTTCGAGGTGAATTGTTTTCCATTGTCCGAATGGATCGTTTCCGGCACCCCAAATTTATAAACAATTTCGTTCACTAGGAAATCGATTACATTCGGCACTGTCGGGGTTCGCATGGCTTTGAGGAAGATATACTTCGAAAAATGGTCTACCACGATGAAGATCCAGGCGTGCCCATTTTTGGACCTCGGATACTTCCCCAGGAAGTCGATGTAGAGTTTATGGAATGGGCTTTCCGTCTCTACCATCTGCCCGATCCCAACCTGCATCCTGTAGTTCGGTGCCTTAGCCTCCTTACACACTGTACACCCGCGGACGAATTCACACACCTGGATGGTCATCCCCGGCCAATAGAATTGGCGTCTCAGAAGATCTAACGTCTTTCTCATTCCACCATGGCCTGCCGCCTTGGGATCTGAATGGGCACGTTCCATCAAGCTGTGCGTCAAGCTTTGTGGGATCCACAGCATTTCCCTCAGATCCGTCCAGTTCCTCATCCAGATTCGGGGCTTTCATGAGCTTGAAAACAAGTCAATCCGCGACCTTTAGATCAGGTAAGTCCTTTTGGATCGTGTCCACTTCCCGAACTAACTCCACGTAATCCTCCGCAGCAAACTCCGTGGTCTCGAAACCCAACAACACTGTAGGATCTATCCGGACTTCTTCAACGCATCGGGACAGCGTATCGGCAACCACGTTCTTGCAATGCTCAATGTTGAAATTGTAGCCCTGCAGCTGCAGAGACCACCTGGCAAGCCGTCCGGATAGATCCTTCATTGTCATTAGCCATTTCAGACTTGCGTGATCAGTGATGCACGTAAACCGCATCCCTTCCACATACGGCCTGAATTTCCGAATGGCTAGGATGGCTGCTAGGCACTCCTTTTCTGTCACCGTGTAGTTGACCTGGTGTCTGTTCATTTTGGCCGAGAAGAAAGCGATCGGCTGTTCTGCCCCGTCCTGGTTCCGCTGAAACAACACTGCGCCTACTCCGACGTGGGAGGCATCGCAAAGGATAAAGAAATGTTTCTTAAAATCCGCGTGAACCAGGACTGGCGCTTTCGTCAGGGCCAACTTCAGATCGTCAAAGGCCCGCTTGGCACTGGGACTCAAAGAAAATTTGATGTATTCCGACTTCTTCAAGGACTCGGTAAGATTAGCCGCTAGCGTAGCGAAATTGCTGACGAAGCGACGATACCATCCCGCTGTGCCAAGGAAAGCTCGCACTTCCTTCATGGACGTTGGGTAAGGAATCTTCTGGATCGCGGAAACACGTCCAGGGTCCATTCGCAGCGTTCCACCTCCAACTACGAAACCAAGGTAAGTCAATGCTTTAAAGCAGAACTTAGACTTCTTCAGCCCAATTGTTAACCCTGCTGATTTTAGACTTTGCGCTACCCGAAGCAAATATTTGAAATGGGTCTGGAAATCTGGAGCCAGGATGAGCAGATCGTCGAGATAAGCGAAAACGTTGGTTCTCAGCTCCGCTGGAATCACCCTGTCCATCAGCCGCACCAAACGTTGCGCTGGGTTGCACAGTCCAAAGGCATCATCCGAAAATGATACAGCGGCCTGCCCGGGACTGTAAACGCAGTATACTCCCTTTCTGCCGTCGTCGAGCTTGATCTGCCAGAATGCAAACTTGAGGTCTACGCTGGAGATGTAGTGCGTCTGGTCAATCCGTGAGAGTGTAACGAACTGCTTTTTTACTTTCTGCTCGCTGCGTAAAACGCGCGGCTAGCTCAGCTGAGTTTGTGTGTTCGTCCCACCAAATTTATTGCAGCGTGACCCCGAAACCAAAGAAGAACGCAGAAGTATGTTACACTTTAGAATACGTGTTGGGTTTATTGCATGTAGATTTATAATTGGTTGTTCGATTTCTGGCTCGGCTCGCTGATGAAGATGATGCCCTCGGTGACGCCGATAGTGGCTCCCAAGTCGACTCTACGGCGGCACGCCTGTCGTGCGTCCTCTGCCTTGCCGGGTCTTTTGGGCACCGGTCGCGTACTAGGCTCGCTACGAGTCTCTCACAACCTTGGAGGATGTTAAGCAGAACCTCCCTAGCGGGGCTAAGCAGTGATGCCTGCAGTCACCACTCTTCGCTCCACCCCGGAGTTCGGTCGGGACTTCGTCGGCCTGGCCCTCGGCAGGTCCTCACTCTCGTGTGAACCGACACCGGGTACCTTGCGCACAACTCCACTGGATCTTCGTCGGCCTGGCCCTCAGCAGGTCCTCAATCTCTCATGGGAACCGACGCTGGGTACCTTTCGCACAACATCCACTGCCAAGACTCCGCCAACTTCGTCGATTTCGAGACTCGTAGACGCACCCTACAACTTACCTTGTACCCTCGGGATCTCAGCTTGGCAGTCTCAGCTTATGTAGACGTAACCGTCGTTGGGCTTCTCGACTCGGCGATCTTGATTCCGGGTATCCTGGCACTTGTTGTTCACTTGGGCTTTCACTCGCGTTGTTACGATCTCTTGCACGACTTTCACTTGACTCTCTAGAAATGTGCGCGCTTTCTCCTTTTATACGCCATCCTGGTCCCGCAATTTCCCTTCCTTGGTGGCGTGATCGGGTCCAAAGTACAGGACAAGTGGCGTGATCGGGTCCAAAGTGCAGGACCAGTCCCGTTAGTTCACGGTCCTTCCCTTTTGTGCTGCTCTAAAGTCCGCCGACTTCACCGTTATACGGGTGCAAAGTCCAGGACTTCACCGTTATAACGGGTACAAAGTCCGCCGCGGTACCGTTAATTCACGGTCTCTCCTCTTTGCGCGGGTCCGAAGTCCGCAGACTCACCGTTATTGGGTCCAAAGACTGCAGACTCACCGCAGCATTGAGTCCAAAGTCCTTGGAGCCGTTATTTCCCTATTTCCCACTGCACACAGCGCATCCCGCTGTTGCCATGCAGCTCCGCTGCACTCAAAATTGTAAAGAGTTTTACAACTCCTTACATCTCCCCCTTCCTTCGGAAACTTTTGAAAGCTTCGGGCTCCGGAACTTCCTGGGGAAAACGTCCTCGAATCGCCTCCTTCCCACGTCGACCTCCAACTCCTGAGTGCGGCCAAGGGCCTCTTGGATCTCAGCCGGACAGCCTCAGCCTATTGGACCCTACCTGGTCATTCAGCATCTCGACTGTGGCATCTTGACCCCCATGGCTCCTTGCGCACACGTCCTTCCTCGATCCTTGTGGCCGCTGCCACTCCGTCGTCGACCTCCTCCCGCCACGCCTGAGAGCTCCTCCAATCTCAGCACCTAAGTCTCAGCTTATGTAGACTTCCCGTCGTTGGGCTTCTTGACTAGGGCATCTTGACTGTCGAAAACTCCCAGCACGCGACTCCTTCCGATCCTCGTTCGAATTCGAACCGTTTCCCGCGTAGTATTTCCCCGCGCACAATCGATAACTCATCTCGACCGATCGTGGCGTTGCCACTCCTCAGGGCTGCAATCATAACCAGTGTGACCGGCCAGCTATGTTTCCAGTATTTTCTTTGCTCCCATCGATCGCACTATCGATCGACCGCCGTTATCGTGGCGACCCCATTCCCAATTTCCGCTGGCCTCGTGGTTTTGTTTTGGTAAGTACTTGAGGTTATTTCGTTTTTTTTTTTATTTCTCACCATTTTCGTCCTCTTCTTTCAGCATGCACCTTTGCCGGGTTGAGCTGCGAACGCCCCCCCGATGAATATGTGCCGGGGCGCCCACCATGATGCAGCGCGTCCCGGCAGGCCCTCTTTTGGCCCTTTCTTCCCCTCCATTGCCCCCTCCACCCCCAGCAGCCCCTTTGGACTGGCCGCCCGGGCCTGCTTCCAGGTAAGTTCGTGAGATATTTCCACTGTTCCTTGGCTTACCCTTTTTCCTTTTCTTTCAGCACGTCCAGGCTGCCAGTCGACGCTTCCTCTTTATGCGCCGGGCGCCATCCTTAGCCCGTCGCGCCCGGCAGATCGTCCTCGGGCGGACGACTATGGAGTCGTTGGGTCCATCGCTGACCCCCTCTCTTTGCTCCTCACCGGCCCGCGCGCCTGGCTCGCGCCCCTCGCGGGGTCATTGACTCGTCCGGCCCATATATATTTTTTTTCCTGTGTTTACATATATTTTTTTGTGTGTGTTTTATTGACCGGTCCACCTCCGGCACTACCCGCCCCTGTCCCCAAAATATACAGCCGAATATTATACCTGAATGGGCACTTATTTCGTCTTGAAGACCCTGGCCCGCCCGCCCGCCATCTTGATGCGGTAGCGGGCCCCCTCCGACCACATTAACTTCGCCCACCGCTGGGTCCTCCCTCGCTGAGCCTGCCTCTCCGCCTCGGCCCCTCACCGCATCTGGCCATTCCGCGATGGATATCTCCTGCCTGGCGGCCTCCACCGACACCGCCCTCCGCAAGGTGGGTCTCCTTGGTGCCTGGGCCTCAGGACATGACTCCTGACGGAGCAGCTTCGGCGGTCGTGGCGGCGGTTGCGGCGACGACGGCGGCGGCCCTTGCGGCAGCGGCGGCGTGCTCCTTGCCGCTGGCGACCCCGGTGGCGGCGGCGGCCCTCGCGGCAGTGGTGGCAACTTCACCCACGTCGGCGGAGGAGGCGGCGGCGGTGACAACGGCAATGGTGATGCCCTCGGCGGGGCCTCCCTCGGCGGAGACGGTGGTCGTGCTTCCCTCGGCGGTGACCCCTTCGGTGGCGGCGGCGGCGACGGCAGTTTCGGCGGCGGCGGCGGTGGCGGCGACGACGGTGGCGACGATGACGATGACGACGACGACGTTGGAGACGGCATCCACAACTCGGCCTCCGTTTGTTGGAGTCGCAATTGCCACGCCTCCTACCCCGCCACCCTTTCCCTCTGCTGCTCCTGCAACTTCCGCAATGTCCATTGGCGCCTGGCCATGATGGCTACCACTTCCGCGGGGTCCCCCGACGGAGCCTCCGTTCCGCACCGGATGAAGTCGCCACCCGCCACGGCCCGCCTGAGCTGCCGGTAACTCCTCCTTGCCTTTGCCGCCCGCCTGTCGTCGTCCTCGTCCGACGAGACCACGGGGGTCACGGTTTCACCGCCGCTGTCCTCTTCCGTCGACGACAGCTCCACCGTGACCATCTCCGCAGTGGGGCCGCCGTCGACCTCCTCGTCGGAGGACATCTCTCTCTCCGACATCTCGCACCAGGCCGGCGACGGGGACCGCGATACCAGCGGGGACGCCAGCAGCTGGAGGGCCGACGACGAGCGTCGACGCCTCCACTTCGCCCCTGGCTGCTGCCGCTGGTCGCGGCCCTCCGCGCCGACCTTGCGCTTGCGCTGCTGCTGCAGCGGCAACGGCTGCTGCTGCAGCGGCAACGGCTGCTACTGTTGCTGTTGTTGCGGCTGCTGTTGCTGCTGCTGCTGTTGCGGCTGCCCTTGCTGTCGCTGCATTTGCTGCTGCTGCCCTTGCTGGGGCTTCTGCTGCTGCTTACTTTGAGAAGTACGTCCGGCCATCTTGATCGAAATTTTGAAAGACCGAGTCTTCCCGCGTGGTTCCCCATGACGGCTCGGTTTCCTCCTTTCCGCCACTCCCGTTATTTGCTGGATCTGTACCGGTAACGGGATCCTTCCCGCCGCTCTCTCTCGGTTTATTAGTGTGTATGATCCGTTCTGTGCGTGCGGCTGTGTACCCTCCTCTGACCCGCTTCTCGCGCTCCTGGCGCTCGCGCTCCAAAATATACGTGTGTGTGGGTGGCCATTTTTCGATACTCCGTATCGTCCTCTCCCTTTCTCGCGAAACACACGTACAGTGCGCCCCCAGTATGACGGTCACCCCTATTTTTCCCCCTCGGTTGTGCTCGGCTTCAGCTCGCTAACATGAGCCCTCTTTTCTTTGCCATTCTGGCTGTGCCGTAAATTACAAATTACCTTAACAAATAAGTTTTATTTATTTACGTCGATCAGCCAACCTAATGGCTATAATACGTAAAGCATAACAAGGAACAGATAACATGAAAACACTAACAGGAGATGTACAGTAACAATTACTGTTTCAGGACTCGGGAAACATTGCGTCCTCTTGTCCAGAGATCGCCGGGGTGTCTCCGTTTCAGTCTTCTTCGGATAGCTTGATTACGTAGAGACGCTGCTAGGTGGTTGGGGTGCGCTCTGAGGCGATCGCTGTAACGACTCGCGTGTCGGTTGATCTTTGTTGCCAAGGCTGAGCTTGCTCGTTGGCTTAAGCAACCAGTTCAACTTCCTGAGTTTACTCCGACATGTAGCTGTTATTTTCTTGGTGTGTTCTTTCCAGGTGAGCCGCTTTTCTAGGATCAGTCCCAGATACTGCGCCTGGGGTGACTGTGGGATGGTGACGTCGTGGAGTTCGACTCTGGGTAGGACCTTTCCTCTCAAAGTAAAGTTACAATGTTGCGACTTCCTGCCATTTATGGCAATATTCCACCTGTTAGCCCACTTGCCATACGAGTCCAAAAATTCCTGGGTGATCCTTGATGCCTCGATTCGGCAGGAAGAGTTCACAAGAAAGGCAGTATCGTCAGCATATGTGGCCAAAAGTGTGCCCGGTTCAACAGAACTTGGCAGGTCTGATGTGAACAGGGTGTAGAGAACGGGACCCAGAACGCTTCCCTGCGGAACGCCAGCACGAGCAAATCTAATGCTTGACCTTTCCCCTCTCACCTCGACCATAAAACTTCGATCAAGCAGGTATGATTTCAGTAGAAGGAATTGGCCAGTCGGAAGTAATGACTTCAACTTATGAAGTAGTCCGTAATGCCATACTCGATCAAAAGCTTCCTTGACATCAAGGAAAATTGCAGAGCAGTATTGCTTGTTTTCAAAGGCATTCAAAATGTGATTAACTACTCGATGTGCTTGCTCTGGGGTCCCATGGCGATGCCTAAAACCAAACTGGTGATCGGGAATGGCGGCCTGCACGCTTCTTACTCCCATAATTCTACTAAGAAATATTCTCTCGAATATTTTAGAGAATGTGGGAAGCAAGCTTATAGGTCGGTATGACTCTACAAGGTTCTCCGGTTTTCCTGGCTTTGGTATCATCGTTATCACAGCACACTTCCATTGGGAGGGAAAGTGTTACATACGTAGCATTGAATTAAAGAGGAGAACAAGGAACAGGATACCCTTCTTAGGCAGAGCCTTGGCAATTCTATTGTCTATGCCATCGAATCCCGGCGCTTTACTGATATGTAGCTTCCGAATATGAAGACAAACTTCTTCTGGGCTGACATGTGGGATCGGTAGAGCATTCGTCGAAGGAGCATTAATGAAGGCCATTGTTTCTTCGAGATCCTCTGGGCTCGCGAGGTCGAATGGCTGAAAGCGTTTCTCTAGTTCGTCCGCGAAAGCTAAAGAAATGTCTGAGTCAGACCTGCACCATGTATCGTCAGTTTTCTTTATGGGGATCTTTCGGAGAGGCTGTCGTTTAATGTTTCGTGTCGATTTCCAGAGGTTAAAGCCGTACGGTTTGGTGGGATCTGCATTGAGGAGCATCTCATCAAAATATTCGCGCTTGGTTTGATGCAGAAGTTTTTTAAGCTCGTCCTCGGCGCGACGGTAAGCCCTTTTGTCGACTGGGTCTTGGGACCTCAAATATCTGCGACGTAATCTTTTCAGCCTTACCAAGTCCATAACTTCAGGTTTTAAAAGAGCCTGAGGTGGATTGCAGTGGCTTGAAACTTGTCCACAGGTTGAGGACTCGGCAGCGATATGAATACTCCGGACAAACATCTCTACAGCGTCGTTGATTTCCTCAGGAGAGTTTAACACCAAATTGAGGTTAACAAGCTGGTTGACTGCTGCTTGGAAGCGCGGGATACTCGCGTTTCGAGGAAGGATGCGAGGCCTATTACGAATTATTTGTGCAGCTACTCTCAACTTTATTATAAGCGGTATGTGATCAGAGCTAAGCTCAAAGCTTTCTGTGATGGAGAGACACTCGGACCGTATCCCTCTATAGACTGCAAAGTCAATGGCTGTTGGCGTTCTTTGGCTGTAGGGATAATGCGTAGGCCCTCCAGTTGCAAGGACCTGGGAGTTTGATCTTTGTACAACATCAGCGAGTGCTCTTCCTCGGCTGGTAGAGTTTCGGTATCCCCAGAGGCGGTGGTGAGCATTCCAATCACCTGCGATTATGAAATTTGTTCCAAGATCATCAAAGAGTTTTTCGAAGTCGTCAGCAGAACATTGAAAGTTTGGTGGACAATATATAGATGCAATACATACTTCGCCATGGTCGGTTGTAACTTTGACAGAGACACATTGTACATTCGTGCTTTGTAGATTGTAGGACTGGTAGCATTTAAGACCAGATTTTATTATTATTGCAGATCCACCGCGTTTACGATCAGCAGGATGAGTTGCTTGATGGATATCGTACCCATGCAAGTTGTAGTACGACCTTGAACAAAAGTGTGTTTCACTGACCAGCATAATGTCAATATTATGACTTTGCACAAAGAGCTCTAGCTCGATGGCTTTATTGGCCAGTCCGTCGGCGTTCCACACACCAATGTTCAGGCCGATTTGGCTCATGGTTGTGACACATTAACTGGGAAAGATCCAGGGAATGCTTGAGCTGTTCCTGGAGTATTTTGGGGTAATAATCTTGAGACAAGACTCATCATCGACACCATCATTTGGAATAGCTTGTCAATCTGGGCAACAAGGACCGACAGGCTTTCATTAGATTGCAAGAACATTTGCTCTTGGTGCTGCCATTGCTGGTCGTTGACCAATTGCTGTGAGTTGCGTCGCTGTTGTTGTGGGAGAGTCCTCTGGAGATCTGGCTGTTGCTGTTGTTGAGGCCTTTGTTGTTGCTGTGATGGCTGCTGCTGCTGTTGATGCGGTACTTTTTGGTGACTTGGCTGACTTTGTTTCCTGTTGTCACTGCCCAGTGGAGGAAACTGTTGGCTCTGCGTGAGGGTCACAGGGACTTGTTGCCGCTGGGGATGACTAGCTAGACCACGGACAGCATTAGCGTAGGAGTTGGGCGCCGCTGAGTTTGACCAAACATTAGGATCAGTAAACTGCTAGGGGATGGTTCTGCGTTGGGATGTGACACGTTTTCGTTGAGCAACTTGCTGGTATACAACGCAGCCTTTATAGCTAGCTGTATGTCCACCGCCACAGTTAGCACATTTTACTGGACGGACATTCTTTAAGCAGGCCTCCAAGCCATGTTGTAGGCCACATCTGACGCAGTTAAATAGCTTTTGGCAATGCTTTTTGGTGTGTCCGAAAGCTTGACAACGGTGGCACTGAACAACATCATCCTTTTTGTAAGGGAGTTCAACTTGGACCCGTTGCCGACAAAGTGTCTTGATCCCGTGGATTTCTTTGTTGTTTGCAGCCGGTTCAAGTTCAACAAAAACTAAGTTAACGAGCTTAGTTTTGTCGAAGCGGCTTCTAGGTCTATTGACAAATCGAACCAAATGTCCCGCCGAGGTCAGACTTTCCTTAATGTCTACATCTGGGACAGAATGATGGACACCACGGATGACAACACGATAAGATCTGTCTTCTTTTAACTGCCAGGAATGGTATGGTACCTTTTTAAGGGTCAGCGATTTGGTTATGGCTCTGTATGTGTCTGAATCTGATGCGAGAATGGAGACAGAGTTGTTGGGATGGCATTTCAGGGAGTATTTGGAAGGGGCAACAATCTTGTCTGTGGATCTTATGAGTCCGTTTATATTCTCACAGTGATCAACCACAATTGGGGGTGGTTTGTGGGAGGGTAGTTGCTCCTGGCTACCAGACGGTCGGATGACATTTTTGTTGTTGCCTGCGGTATTGTTGACGGCTTTTGTGATTTTCTTGTTTGTTGTTGATGTGTTATTTGAGGTACTTTTGCTGTTGTTGCTAACTTGTCTTAAGCTGAAAGAAGAACTGGCTTCTTCAGAGACATTGGGGCCCATCGTTTGTGGGACTTCGACGGGTTCGGTGGCTGTGTCCATGTCCGACAGATCTGAGAATCGGTTGGCAGAGACATTGGTTTTAGGGCTATTGGAGTTTCTCAAGATTTTGGAGACAGAATTTGGTGATCTGGAGTCAAGACGGCGTTTGTTTGCCGGTCTTGGGGACCACCAGACCTCTTCGTCTCCATTTATGACTTCTAGTTCCGGTTCAGGATCATGGCTTGAAGGTGAGATGCTGAG